TTACATTACATAAACAATTAAAACATTTACTAAATAATCAAACCAACATACCAATTAAATTAAATAAATAATTAAATAATTCCACAATTAAATGAAATAAAATCCAAATAATCTAATTAAATCAATTAAATTAAATAAATAAAATTAGGGGCATTACATTTGGTGCTACGGACCGCCATGAAAGACAAAGCTTGGCTCTTGGATGCTATTAGAAGCTTTAGGCCCCATAGTTACTCTTTTGCATGTGCATAGAGATGGTCTGTGATGATCAGGCTCTTAAAATTGCCCAGGTAGTATTGATTAGGAAATTAAGCATAGAAAAGTTTCATGTTTGTTTGTTATGAGCTCTTCATACTGTAATGTTTGTTCAGCTGTTTATGAAACGGTTTCTTTGCCCAGGAAAAAAAAATCATCATTTAGAATATATATATATATATATATATATATTATTGTATCATTATCACTTCACAAACACGTGCTCTCATATTTTTTATCGTGGAAAAACGATGTCGTTCCAGCTCAATTAATGCTACACGCTCAACAAATGGGAAAACCATAAGAAGAGAAAAGGAAAAACTCTAGTCGGAGAAATTGCTCATGAATCTTATCGAGGGTCTAGATCCCTATTTATAAAGTTTTTACAAGTTCGAACTTGATTAGAGCTTGTCCACCAAGTTCCTTAATGTTTACGTAGCTGGATTAACACAATACTTTTGTATCCTTCCCTATGCAGGATGGAACTGCCAAACCGGACTTGGGCTTTATGGAATTTGGGCCGAGCTTGAATGATTGAATCCTTTAATTGGACCTAGCCTTGTCATTTGGGCTTGGTCCCTCCATTTGGTTTGATGGACCTGCTTTTAGCAGGTTATGTTGGACCCCGCGTGGCAGGTCCCTGGTGGTCCCTTGCTTGCTTATGTGGCCCCTTCTGATTGGAGGGGAAATTTCCCACCACAAAGTTTTAAAAATTAAATAAAGTTGTTGGGATAAAATAAGCTTTTTAACAAATTTATTTAGGATATATATATATATATATATATAGATTCTCTCTTTTTAAATTTTATAATTTTTTGTTGTTAACATTGATTGGCCTACGAGGTCAACAAAGTTCATTTATCGCAAAGTGTGGTAATAGAAGATGCAAATGGCCAAAATGGAGTGTATATATATATATATTCTCTCTTTTTAAATTTTATTATTTTTTGTTGTTAACATTGATTGGCCTACAAGGTCGACAAAGTTCATTTATCAAAAGTGTGGTGATAGAAGATGCAAATGGCCAAAATGGAGTCACCAGAGTTCAATGTATTTAAGGAATGCAAAGTTGTTGGCTTCATTTTCGTCTATCCAAATATCATTATTTTTATCAAAATATCAAATTTTAAATTTTGGTGTCAAAGAATAGTAATTATGTGGTCGAGTAGTTAAGGAATATTAAGAAAAAATTATAAACTCGAACATCCTGAACTAGACTCCCATACTCGAGTTTTTATTTGGTAGGAAGGAAAAAAATTAGATGAAAAAGATAAAACGAGAGATGAATGAGATATTCATAGGAAATAGATTGTATCCTTCCTCTTTTTGTTTGGTTGTATAGAAGAGAAGAAAAGAGAAGAGAATAAGATAATATCTTATTTTATTAGTTAGGACTTATGAGAGAGAGAGGAAAAAAAAAAAAAAAAAAAGCATAAATGGTATGTGTAATTTACGAGAATTAGTGATATGTGTGATTAAAAAATAAATAAAATAAATACAAAGAGAGTTTATCTTAAAACTTGGTGTTTCTTTGGCATGATGTTGTTGGAATTAACATATGCAACATATCAATAGTTCCAGAAAATGAGGTGAACAAGAAACCAATGTATTTCAGAAAGCATAGCAATTTCATTTATTTATTTATTTACTATATATATATATATATATATATATATATATTTTCTTAAAACACGTGTTTCAAAATATGTGACAGCACATTGTGACGTGATCTTAACACTTATTTCAATTGTTTTGGATTTTTGATAGCATAAACCAAATTTTACAAAATGAAAGAATAAAAAAGATCAAAGCAAAGGAAATAGTTGAATGGGTGGAGAGCTAATTTTTTTAATGTGAATGGTGCAAAAACAAATTAAAAAAATGAAGTAATAATAATCGTGAATATGTATAATATTTATTACACCCCTGATTATGTTTTAAAACAAATAACATGTATTCTTTTTTGAATTTAAAATATATAAAGAAAAATAAAAATACCTTAACTCTTTTATATTTAAAAGGAGGAATATCACATAACTCCTATGTACTATCATTTTCAGTCAATAAACCCCATCAAAATTGAACAACCCTGTGGAACTAAAAAAAGTCATCTAGTTGCCTCCAAAATTGATTATTACATTGTGAAATGTCAAAATTGGTCTCGTGATGTAATATTAAATTTTTAATTGATAATTCTTATTTTAAAATTCCAAAAATACCCCTTTAAAATTGGGTTTTCTTCTTCCTCACCCTCCATCTTCCCAAACCATCTCTGTGCAAGTGTGTCGCGGACTTCTGTGCCATGCCTCGATGCACATCTATGCCTCTGTTGCCCATCAATTGGCTAAGCTCAACACCTTCTCTCCCTTTGCGACTAGCAAGTCGCTAAAACGACGACCAAGCAATTGTGAAGAACCGTCCCGTCCGCCGGAGAGAGACTTGGTTTCTGAGAATCAGTGCAAGAATTTTGGCAATTTTGATCTGTTTGCTGTTCGGAATTCGAAGTTTTGAAGTCGAAAAGGGTCGTTTCTGATTGAATTTGAGTAAAAAAAAACTAACTCAGCAAAAAAATACTTGCTCTGTTTCTTTGATGGGTCTGGTTTTAGAGAGAGAGAGGTAGAAAGACGGCATTTCTGATCGATCTATCTATCTATATTTATATATATTATATGTGAACGAAGAGACAGGTATTTGATTTGCTTCTGATGACTAATTTGGTTACTAAAAAGATAAGAAATTGTGATTGCAAATCTTAAATTTCTCTTTTTACAAAGAATTTCTCTTTTAAGATTGAATAGATACGAAGCCCTTTTCTTTGGGGAAGGCTTACCGGCCAAACCCTTGAGACTTAGGAATCAAACCACAGATCATCTTTCTATAAGCAATTCGTCTACCTCAGCCCGAACTCTTTCCTAATCTACTTACATAGGCGCCGGAACATCACCATTCGCTGGAAGAAGAAGAAACTCAAAATATTCTTACCGTAGATGACAATAAGCCACTTACCTGTGAACAGATGAGAAGAATTTCTCTTTTTACAAAGAATTTCTATTTTAAGACTCAGAATCTGATTCATTCAAATCAAACCCCAATCAAACCCAGAACCCGTAGACTGTATATGGAAGATTTGTTCGTGAGGGAGTGTTATAGGAGGAAAGGGTTTCGGAAGATGCTGTTGTCGGCGGTGGCGAAGATGGGGTGCTCCCTTTTGTTAACAAACGGCGTCGTTTCGTTAATAATGAAAGGGTAGAATCGTCACTTTAAAAATAATTTTTAAGTTTTAATTTAATATTAAATAATAAAATTAAATTTATCATTTGAGTCGGTTACAGATTTGGGAGTAAAATGATGAATTTTGTAGTTCAGAAATATTTAATTTTAGTGGAATTTTTTAAATAAAAATGATAAAGCTGGAAGGTTATGCGATTTTTTTTCTATTTAAAATTGACCTTGTGCCACATTAATGACCTCTTCTCCAATACTTTTTCTTTCCAACCATAAAAAGAATATTATCGTCACTTTGTGTAATTACCCAGACTATGTTCTACACAACTTAATCCAAAACGATAATGATGATATCATGTTTTTTTCTTTCTAAAATCACAATTCTATAATTTAACCACTATAATGGTGAATTTCACCATTTAAATTTTTTTAATTTCAAAATAGTAAAGTTTATGATGAGAAAATTATAATGGTGAAATTTTAAAATATATACGATAAAATTGCACAGCATGAAACTTTCGAAAATAATAATAATATACACATCTCGAATTAAAATTTGAGATTTAATCTTGTGGCGATAACTAAAAAAAACATTAATGTCCACTATTTTAATACATATTGCAATTTATTATTTTATGCAAACGTTTATCTCTCTATCTCTAATTTGTTTTTCTCTACTAATATTTTTTTTATTATATATACAAATATAAATATATATATATATATAGATATAGATATATAGATATATATTCTCTTCTGCATTTATTTTTCAATTACTCTAAATCAGTTGGGTAACTCTTTCAAATTTAACCTTAATTGGAAGACACCAAATTAAAATATAATTATAAAAGCTTTAAATGAATATTCTAAATTAGGGTTCAACATATATCAAAGGCCTTGTGGTCTAGTGATCTCCTTTACTTCCCAAAGTGAAGGACCACGGTTTGAGTATCCAAATGAACAAAGTGGGTATTTGAGTGACATGATAAAAAATATTGTAACTTTTAATTTTAATTATTTAAAGATTTAATAGAAAGAGTCTCTCAATATAAAATATATACGCAAAATTGAATTAAAATTATTAAGTTATATGAGGATTTGGATGTTATAACATTAAATTTTGCTTCTTTTTTTTTTTCTTTTCTATATTAAGATATATTTCATATTAAAAAAAATTTGCTTTACATACAAATAAACTGACAAATAAGTAACTACTTAATTCAAGATAAAATCACAAATAAAAATGAAGTATAGCATTTTCCTAATAATAAGAGAGAGAATTCAGGTTGAATTTTCTAATTCTCAAATTTAATTTAGAATTAGAGAATTTTTTTTTATGACAAGAATGACCCTTACACAAACTTTCAGACACACAGAAATAACTCAACCACTTAAACACCAACAGTTAAACGACACGGCACTTACATTTAGGATTAGAGATGATCGGACAAAAAAAAAATGGTATTGGAGAGAATCCATGGTGGTGAAAACGAATAAAGTAAGTGGCTCACTTTTCCCTCTCCCTATTAATTTCTTCTAAAAACACATCATTAGTTTAAAGTGTTGTCTCCACTCATCATCACCACCCACAAAGCAACACAACATATGCATTAACAGGGTTTTTTGGTCATTGAGATCCTCATTATTCGCATTTTACTACTTCTTTCTTCTTGTTGTCATTTTTGTATATTAGTTAGCTCTCTCTCTCTCCCTCTCTCTCCTCACTTTCTCTCTCTCTCTATTGTTCCATTCAAATTCAATTTCAATCCTCTCTCCTCTTTATTCCATCACTATCTAATCTTTTACATCTCTGTAACTCTCTCTCTCTCTCTCTCTTGATGTTAATCAATACTACCAAACCTGGTCAATCTTTGATTCTTCCTTCTAGAAATTGTGATTCCATTTGATTCTTTCCCTCCGTGTTGTGTCTACCGATCCACTTTTCTGGCAAAACCCTAGTTTTTGGGCTCCTTGTTCCATCGATCACTGCTCGGATTTCAGCAACTGAGATCTGAATCAATTATGATCTCATTTTGAATCTGAATAATGTATTTTCGTTCGATTCTGATTAGACGTCTCGATCTTTGGGTTGTTTCGGATTCCAAAACGTTGACTTGGGAGCGAATTGAAGTTCTGAAAGGACAAACTCGATCCTTTGACGACACAAGGTATAGGAGATTGATTCTGTGATAACTGCTTGTTAACACACACATATATATTCGTTCGGTGGATTTTGCTGAACTTGAATAAAAGTATATATTTACACACACATACACACATATATACTTTTTTTTGGTTGTGGAATTGAGATAAAGGCGATGACGAGGAGTAGGGGGGAGAGAGAAGACTTGGAGAAGTCTGTGGGTACTGTTTCAAAGGACTCAACGCTTGGACTTCTGAGGGTTCTAACAGTTCTCATCATTTTTGTTGTGGGTGTGGTTATTGGGTTGACATCAAGTTCGCATATCAATCGATATTTTAACATACAAGCAGATCATTTTATCATGAATCGTGCAGTGGCTCCGTTGCTTCCGTTGCCAAATTGTACAGACAATTGTGAGAAGGTGGATTGCTTAAGCATGGAGAGCTATTTGCGCCCGAAAGCTGTGACTCATAGTTTATCGGACGAAGAACTGTTTTGGAGAGCTTCAATGGTGCCCAAGAAGGTGGACTATCCATACACTAGAGTGCCCAAAGTGGCTTTCATGTTCTTGACCAGGGGACCACTGCCACTGTTGCCATTGTGGGAGAGATTCTTCAAAGGACATGAGAAGCTATTCTCCATTTATGTGCATGCAGCCCCAGGGTATGAGCTTAATGTGAACAGTACCTCCCCTTTCTACAATCGCCAGATCCCTAGTCAGGTATGAATCAATCCAGCATGATTCTTTGTTCTTAATTGTTGATATTTTGTTATGCTTGTAGAGAACTTATTACTGGCTTCAATCGAATGTAGTTTCTGTACATTTGGGTTGCATCGGTTCCATTTTATAGTTACTGAACAAGCCTAACAAAGTGATCAACTGCTCCTTGGTGAGCAGCAAGCAGTATACTCACTTTTAGTTGCAGCCTTTGCATCTCATCCAATGGACAGCATTAAAACTCCATTTTTTGCATTAGTTTAGGAAACTAGCTTTTTTCTTTCAATTACCCTTAATTTTGTTTGACCTAAAATGGCAAAATAGACAATGGAATTAAACAAAAAAAAAAAAAAAAACTCAGTTGATTTCTCCAATAGACGTAATCTGAATAAACAAATATGTAATGACAAATAGATGTCACCTGAATCCAGTTATTCAGGACATTAGGAGTAAACTAGAGAATATGATTTCCTTTTCCTTTTCCTTCTTTTATTTTATTTATATTTGTTTTATGTATATATTTTTTTATGGTTTTCTTACACTATGATGATAATCACTTGATGTATCATCGCATTTTTAATATTGGGAATGAAAATGATCTTCGTATGCGTCACCTACCAACCGACTATTAAGAAAGTGAAAGGAATTGAGGCTAGGATTCCATTTTGCAGTCTAGTGGATAACACAGATGTGGTAATCAGGAGATTTTGAGGCCTTACAAAAATCAGGAGAAGTAAACTAGAAGAGAAAGTTATCCTGTATGGTAGGATTCTGTTTTGAAACCTAATGAATTAAAGAGATGTGGTGATTAGGACCTTTTGAGGCCCTTCAAAAATCAGGGGAAGTAAGCTAGAAGAGAAAGTTATCCTGAAGAAAGCTATCATTTAACATACATATGGTGTACGAATCTGATAGAAATACTGGAACTTATATACAATAAACTCTGAGTAATTTACCAATGGAGGGCTGAGTACGATACAAGAACTGTGGGGATTGTCGAATGTCTTTGTAGTTGGAATTTAAGGGTAACTTGGACTAACACATACTTACATGGAATGCGACTTTTATAGGCCGAAGAATAAATTTTCAGAGATGGCTAAGATTCATGATAATAAGGATATTCTTAATTCTCTATTTTGGAGAATAGTTGTTAATTAGATATTGCTGACTCCAAGTATTTCAAACCAAGGCTTGTTGAGTCAATTAGAATTTGTTGACTCCAAGCAATTTTGTATTTGTAATTAGATGTAGGATTTCTGTAGAGTAACTATCGTAATAGGATGGGGGATATAATATTTAAAAATATCCTAAACATTTTCTATCTAAGTAGAACTAAGTAACTTAGTTCCTCTGTATACTTGTGTTTCATTTATATAACGGGAGAACTAACTGATGTTGGATTATGTTATAAAAGTATGATATCTTTTCATTTCAGATTATGTTATAAAAGTATGATATCTTTTCATTTCAGTCATGCTATTTTATTTGTTGGTATCAATTGGCTGATCTCAACTATCTAGTAAGGTAGATCCTTATTAAGTGGTGTCGATTGCCTTCTAGAGTTCTACATGCTACATCAACTTAGCATAGCACTTGCCATATAAATAAATTGACAAGGGCCAAAAAGTCGTGGTAATTGGGATTTTGGTTCTGTTCCAGTGCGTTCCAAAATGGAGGATTTTTTACTATTTTTTCGTCCTTAAACTTTTGATTTCTAGACAAAGTCACAAAAAATTCATGAAGACCATCTTTATTTTTAATTTTTTCGTTTAGTTTCTTTTCTTCTCGAATATTGGCAATTATATCTTCAAATATATATTTAAGGTGTTATTGCAAAAAAACTTATACTAGACTAGCAGTTGCAATCCATTATGTATTTATGTGGAAAGATAGTGAAGAGAAAGGAAAGCAGAGGTAGTGGTGGCAATCTGCCCTGCCCTGCCTCTAATGGGACGGGTTTGGTTTGCCTTTAAACGGGGTAGGGTGGGTATGGGATAAATTAGTTCAACCTGAAACGGGTTGGAGGCGGGGGACAGATAGGCATGTTTCCCGCCCCGCCCAACCGCCCCAATTATATAGTGCAATTACTTTACTGTCATTTTAGCTATTTTGTTCCTCAACTGCCTTTACAATATATGTAAACAGTATACAAAACCATCCCTTTCAATCCTACCTCCCCACATCTCCGACTGGCAATCGTTTCCAACCACTGTCTTTGTTAGACTGAACTCTCTCTCCTACAGGCACATCATGGACTCTCGGTCACACAACCACTGCTTCTAATCTTTCCTTATGGCAGTTGCTTCTACAATATGGTGATGGAAGCGCATGCCTTAGATAAGTTAGATCCTTCTCTCTCTATATATATGTGTGTGTGTGTGTGTGTGTGTGTGTGTGTATTTATCTAGGGTTTTTCTGCTCAAAATCTAATCTCATATCTCTCTCTACATCTATATGTATACATACGTCTAGGTTGTCCCTCATTATATATTATTCAATCTCTCTCTCTCTCTCTCTCTCACTCCCCCCATTTTCCATGGAGAAACAGGGATGATGGGTTCAGATGGGGTGGGGATGGAATGCGAAATCTGTCCATGAAGTAGGGATGGGATTGAGAATGGAAACTCGTCCCAGGTATGGGACAAGTTCGGGACTGAGAATTGATAAATGGGGTGGGGTAGGGTTTAGTCAAATCCATACCATACCCACCCCGTTGCCATCCCTAAGAAGATGAATGTTTTCGTTACATGAGTAAAAAGAGAAAATGGAACTTCATATGTTATAAAAAATAAAAAATAAAAAGGAGGGGGGGAATGTGGATTTACTAATTCCCTTATCTTTTCCTTCCAAATCTTCCCATTCGAAAGGAAAACAATATTACTATTTGAGGGGCTAATATAGCCCCCTCCCTTCCTTTTTCCTTTTCCCTTCTTTCCTCAGTTTCAAACAAATCACAAGGAAAGCCCATGTTTCCTTCTCTTTTCCTTTTCTTTCCTTTCCAACTCATTCAATCCAAACACACTGTTAAGCATTAGTTTGCTGCACTATAGGAATGTTTCATCTTTTGAATTAATTTTACGTTTTTTAGCTAACGTTCTCTATAGGGTCATTGCTTGGTGCAATGGTAAAAGTTTGAGCTGAAAACATGGGTTCGAAACTTAGAGCTGTGATGTTGTGTAGAAATAATGCCATAGTTAGTTACGTCTCCAATCTCCCCCTGCCAAGTACCCCATGTATATACAGGTCCAGCATTGTGTAATTGCTTTTCTAAGCCTACATATTTATAGTAGTATTAGCTTCCTTTTTTCCCCCTAAAATATTCTTTCTTTTCTTGTCAGAAAGTTGACTGGGGAACAATATTACTGGCAGACTCGGAGAGGCGCCTTCTAGCCAATGCCCTGCTTGACTTCTCAAATGAGCGGTTTGTTCTTCTATCGGAGAGCTGCATCCCAGTCTACAACTTCCAAACTGTCTACAAATATCTCATCGAATCTACCTACAGCTTCGTTGAGTCATATGATGATCCCTCCCGTAATGGACGTGGCCGCTACAGTCGCCGCATGAAACCTGATATCCAGCTTTCTGATTGGCGCAAGGGCTCCCAGTGGTTTGAGCTGAACCGGACAGTAGCTGTCATAGTAGTTTCAGACACGAAGTACTACACCCTTTTCAGGAAGTATTGTTTGCCTGCTTGCTACCCAGACGAGCATTACCTTCCAACTTACCTGCACTTGTTCTACGGACCTATGAATGCAAATCGAAGCGTGACTTGGGTCGACTGGTCATTGGGAGGCCCGCACCCTAAAAAGTTTGAGAAAGTGAATGTTACAGAAAGCTTTATCCAGTCCATAAGAAATAATGGGACACGTTGTTCTTATAATGAGAAGAAAACACATGTTTGTTACCTCTTTGCTAGGAAGTTTGCTGCGAGCGCATTGGAGCCCTTACTCAACCTCACGTCGAGGGTGATGAAATTTTGAAATTTTTTTGACTTGGCAGAGATGAGGGTTAATTTTTTCCCCCTCTAGTTCCTAGATTTGAGTAAAGCTTTTTTGCATGCTTCTGCAAGTTTTGTAGTTTTGGTTAAATTGATTTATTGATTAGAATGTACAGGACATTAGTAAGATAAATGTGGTGCTCTACTATTGAGAGGACTGCTTGGCAGAAATTTTGTGGAATCTGCAAAATTCCTTAAAGAAGGAAAACATCGATACATTTACTCCCGTGTTATGAATGCATCTTGAATTTTTTTTTTTTTTTTTCTTTTTTCATCATGATGTGTTCACTGTTCATTATGTGATTTAGGTGGTGCAAGTGAAGTTGACGTGGCATTATTGAAGCGTTGGTTTGAGAAATATGTCGTCAATCCTCCTCGTCAACCCCTTTGACCCTTTAGCATCTTGTGTGTGCGCGCGCGCGAGAGAGAGATGCAAGGTCGTATGTTTTTACATACAAATCAATGTATTTGAAATATTGTTTTAAAATTATTTCCAAAATTGTAGTTTTTTTTTAATTTATTTTATTTTATGGAAGTAAGTAAAATGTTTTTGATGATTGTTTTTTTATTTATTTTTTGGTGTTTGACAAAGATCTAGGTTGAGTCCAATTGATGGAGTGTGTAAATAACTTGTTGAAAATTGATGGGTAAATTTTTTGTTAAATTTTAATATATATATTTTTTATAAATATTTTACTACAATCAAATAACAAAAAATAAAAAATAAAAAATAAAAAATTTTAAAAATATTTTACATTTAAACAAAAAGAGCCTTTTGTGTAAATACTAAAAAGATACAAGAGGTTTATCAATTGGTTCATTTTTTTTATTGGTTACTCCTAGACATATGTTTTTACCGAAATTCGAACTTTTGACCTCCTTTTAGGAAATTGAGGTATCACCGAAACTCGAACTTTTAACCTACTTTTAGGAGATAGGGTCCCGCTAATTCAATCTTTTGGTAAAAAAGAAAGGATTTCATCAATAGGCATGTAATTAGTTAATGAATAGAAGGTTCACTTTGTACTGTATTTGCTTACAGTTTGGCTCTATGGCCGTTGGGCTATATCCAGCCCATGTACAAAGTTGGATTAATCCTAGCACATGCGCATTAAAAAGACCTTAATACCATTGGGATCGATCTTGAGCTGAACAGAGCTATATTCCAACGTAAAAATCATGAAAAAGCTAGATTTTTTATTAAGAATTGGGGACATAAAAAGATTGGGATTCATAGTTACCTTTCATTGATCGGAATGTACCAAAGAAATAGAATAGGATACTATAGAATTGTATCGAATGAAGAGATTCACTCCCATCATCCTCATAATAATTATTTTTTATCAATTAATCATCTAAAAAAAATATACAAATATATTGTAAACCCTTTTAAAATAGCTTCTCGCAAAATTGGTTTTTAACTATTTGGATTAGAAATAGGTTTGGATCGCTCTATAATAATAGACTTTTATATATACAAGGAGGTCACGCCTTATGTACAAAACTTAAGTTGGAAATAGTAGAAGTCTCACAATTTATTTAAAGAACCAAGTTAGAAATAGTAATGGCTAACAATTAGCACTTTTTTTCTGTTATTTTCTTCTCTTTTTTCACCTTCACTTACAAGTGAATGATAAACGTTTTCAGCCTCAACTTCACCTCGTTTGCAAGCAATTCTTCATCTACTGAGATTCCATGAACACTCTCTTCCTTAATGGAGGTATGAGCATTTGTCTGCCCATCAAATTTCATACACCTAGGTAAAAAAAAAAAATGACTTGTTAAGATCTTCTCAATGAAATTCCCCTTACGGTTACCTTTTAAGGGATGCAAACTCATAAATGATTCAACTATTGCCAATTAGGGCTCCAAATGAATCGAGTTATTCATAAACAGTTTGTAATCAGAAGCTCGTGAACATAAAGCTCACATAGATTTGTATATTTTCATGAACATAGCCTTGCGTAGGTTTGTACATACATAGGCACATGAACATAGATATGTGTAACTCCAAAGGGTTGGCTCAAGTGGGGGCAAGTGTAACGGGTGGGTGCTTCGCGATCCTACTCAAAAGTTTAAGCTATTAGGTGGGACTAATACCCAACCCATATAAACCCATTTCACTTCCCATCCGGATCCGATGTGGAACAAGACTCCAATTGTAACATTCTCCCCCACTCAAACTCGCAACGCTCTGGTTGTGATTTGTCCACCTGGCGTGACACCGGATCAAGGTCTGAACTTGGCTCTAATACCAACTGTAACGAATGGGTGGTTTGCGATCTAACCGAAAAGCTTAACCTATTAGGTGGGGCTAACACCCACCCCATATATATCCATTTCACTCCCCATTCGGATCCGATGTGTTACAAAACTTCTCTTGTAACAAGAAGTCACTTGGCTCTGGTGCCTCATGAAACATCAGGTATAAGGTTCGATTTCTCTTGAGTGTAACCAATTCCTTGCGATGGGTGTGTGAGTATCAGCTACAAAAAAAAGGAATATAAACTTGTATAAGCTTGAATAAGTTCATATACGTGCCAAAGTGATCTTGAACACAATACTAATGGACATTAATTTCGATAGCATCCTCTCTCATTCCCAAAGGGAAAGTGAACTTGAACACAATACTAATGGGCATTAAACTCCAATGGTATCCTCACTTGCTCCCAAAGGGGAGGTTGATTGTTATAGCCCTGTGCATACATTTGCTTGAACTTTCATGAGAGACAGAGAGAGAGAGAGAGAATTGAGTGAGCACGAACCCAACTTTTTGAGCTCATCGCGATCTTGAGTTGAACCCACAAGCAAACAAGCCAAGTTCAAACAGAGTGAAACTCGACTTAGCTTTGATTCATTGGCAGCCCTATTGCTAACCCGAGTAGAGAAAAAGCAAAAAAAAAAAAAAAAAAACTTTCCTCCAGCAATTTGTAATTCACATAGAAAGGTATTGATTTCTAGCTATATTTGTTGCATATGGAATGGCCCTACTGTCAAACACTGATTTTGGAAGGGGGTTCGACTCACTATTTACAACAGGTTACCGTGCCATTCGTGCGGAGGAATGCATGAAAAGACATGCACAATGAGGAGGCTATGTAGTTTTAGAAGCTGAAGTAGTTTTCTGGGAATCGGGAATCAAACTTGTGTAGGAACTTCAAGATGGTTCAAAACGTTATATATTCTAATCCAAAAGTGGATAATAGAAAAATATCTCTCAAGTTATATCATCCTCCAAATAGTCGAAGGACCATAAAATAGACTAGTTTGGATCATACAAAAAATTGTGAGCATCAATTTTATATTCTAAAGATCAACACTACAATAGATTTTTCCCAAAAAATATACTCCGCAGAAGTAAGAGCAAAAATGACTGTTTACATTCATACTAACAAAACAGCACAATAGAGCTCCAGACAGAAAATTTAAAGTCCTACTGATGTAGTAATGTGAAAGTAAATCTATCATGAGAGTGCTCCCATCGAACAACTGAAGTTATGATTTCATGTGAGAGCACTCTCGTTACAAAATCGGAATTTTTTGGGTATATCTCCGGGCCACTCATATCAGAAGGACCACTAGGTGGCCTCATTTAGATTTTTCATACAAAAACTTGAAAGGTCACTGAGTGAGAGAATGGGGCATTTTGAGTTTCTTATTCTAATGATTAACATTGCAATAATTTTTTTCCAAAAGATAAATAAACACAAGTGGACACCTCGCTTTGACCCTACCTCACACAAAATAGCACAAGTGCTCTACGCAATACAATTCGAGATCTAATATCAGAAGATAAGTATATCATGAAGGCACTCTCACTATGAGCTTGCACCCTCAAGTCCAATCCAACAACAAAGAGCATGAGCTCACATGAAACAACCCTCATTAGAGCCCACAATAGGAATGGAATTTTCAGAAATTCAACTCATAGACACGCAGGAATAAATTATATCATCCCTTAGATAGGTGAAGGACCATTGTGCAGCCTCCTTTGAATTGTAAGCTAAGAAATAGTAAAGTCACTTGGTGAGAGAATGAGGCCTATCTCAGTTTTTCCTTCTAATCGTTAACATGACCTCATTTGGATTGTACATAAATAATTAGTTAAAAGTCTAATTTTTCCGAGACAGAAAACAATGTAGACACCTCATCTTACCCCTAAATCTCACAGATAGCACATGCTAGAGCTTTACTCGGTACGAGGTCTAATAACAGAAGAGCAATCCATCCCAACCACGAGCAGTCTAGTGAGGGTGCAAGCTAACTTATCACTTATAAGCACCCTTGTGACAGCCTTTTCCATAACAGAAGTGGATTGGTTGTACACCAATTGACTTTTTAAGAAGAGGGTTTGACCAACTACTAAGACAGTTGCTTTAATTTTCGAAAAAAGAAAAGAAAAGAAGAAGCCCAAAGGGTTTGACTGGTTATTTGAACTAGCCTATACAGCCAAGTCTAGGTAAACTATTTAATGTCACAGAACACACACAGTTTTGCACACGAGGATACTTCTCACTCATACTTTCTGTGCTTCTACAAAATGTTCCAGATTTTCATTTCTCCCAACATTCAACTGGCTAGAAGAGGGGAAGGGTGAAAAGGCAATTATATTACAAACTATGAAGTTGGTAAGGTTTGACGTTTCATTTTCTTCTTTTCTCTTGCAATATAAATAACAGCCATCTCACTGAAAAAAATAAATTAATTTTCATACAGATTATTAGAGAGAGACAATAGTTCAAAGAAGTCTAAATCCACATTTAAATACCATAAAACCAGATCTTCTTACTAATAATGAAAAAAAATACACAGTGATGGGTACACATAATCACTATGAAATTCCATCTATAAATGCAGATTTGAAGTTCAATAACTACCAAGTATTACACAACATGATGACTTACACCTGTATAATGCTACTTTCAGTGCAAAAAGTTCATGCTTGTGACGCCTCAAAAATTGGCATATCTATCACTTATAACTATATAATCATCCTGATTATTTATCAATTAAAGCATCTTTGATAATAATTGTGAAGTCCAATCTACAATTAAATCATGCATATATAGACTCAACAGGCACTAGAAGGCCCTACTACCATAAATCTAATCATACGAAAAACGTACCTCGTGATCATAGAGTGAAGGAAATTACCTGTCCTGCCCTTCGAGGGGGTTGTGATGGCTGCGAATATGCGCCATAACTTGGCCCATTTGTGATTA